AGACAGAGGACAGACAGAGGACAGGACAAAGACAGAGGACAGACAGAGGACAGACAGACAGAGGACAGACAGACAGAGGACAGACAGAGGACAGACAGACAAAGACAGAGGACAGACAGAGGACAGGACAAAGACAGAGGACAGACAGAGGAAAGGACAAAGACAGAGGACAGACAGAGGACAGACAGAGGACAGGACAGAGGACAGGACAAAGACAGAGGACAGACAGACAGAGGACAGACAGAGGACAGGACAAAGACAGAGGACAGACAGAGGACAGACAGACAGAGGACAGACAGACAGAGGACAGACAGAGGACAGACAGACAAAGACAGAGGAAAGACAGAGGACAGGACAAAGACAGAGGACAGACAGAGGACAGGACAAAGACAGAGGACAGGACAAAGACAGAGGACAGGACAAAGACAGAGGACAGACAGAGGACAGGACAAAGACAGAGGACAGGACAATAGAGGGAGGATCAAACTGTCCAATAAATCCTGAGGACAGAGACAGAATTTCTGACTTTGATGACGCCGACAGGAAGTCAGATTAAAGTTCTGATCTGACGGAACCAAGCTGGACCCCTGAGAGGAAAACACCTGGACCCAGATCCTCCCGAGCCGAACCCCGGGGCCTCCTCCTCCTCCTCCTCCTCCTCCTCAGCAGCTGGTGAGGAGGAGGAGGAGGAGGCTCTTCATCAGAACCAGCTCAGCCTCACATCCGGACGGGTCAGTAAATAAAGGCTTTGATTCTCACCTCTCGGTACCGGTTCGGTGGATCTGATCCTGCCCATCAGGGCTGCAGAGGAGGCTCTGAGGCGCGTGCTGCTCTCACGTTGTCTGCATATAAATGCGAGCGCGTGTCTGAACGCACGCGCGCAGGCTCAGAATAAAGGAGGAATAAAGCCCGGTTCTGATGTGTCCACAAACCCGAGTCATGACGTGTCCCACCCAGGAGGAGGACCCCTGAAGTAGTCCTCAGAACCAGAATCAGGACCAGAGGAGGGGGGCTACAGCTTCCGGTTTCACCCTTTCACAATTAAACTAAACTAAAAACAAGACCAAAACGTAGAAACAATTGCTGTCATAAAGACTGGTTTCAAAATAATGAAAGAAAATAATAAATAATCTGTTTTATTTAATTCATGCAAAGTGTTTTTGTGTTTTATCTGTTAGTAAAATATCTCATGAACCACAGGACATGTTTTTATTAAAACCTTCAGTTTCCAAGTTATTCATGAAGAGAATGAAAGTAAAATAAATTAAATGTAACGCCTGATACAAGGTAAAAAAAATCAGATAAAAGATTAAAATGACTTATATTAGTCAAGAACTAAATCACTAATGAAACAAACAAGTAATGTAATATTTATTTAACCACAGTTAACAGGTAGTTGTCGACATCTGGCGGTCATTTCGCGCTCCTGCAGCCTGTTGTTTCAGTCAGGCGCTGTTCGGGACACCTATCACCGCCGGAAGGACCCACAAACGGCTGCCCTGCGTAACTTCCTGAAACAGAGAGGTTTTCTTTGAATGGATGAGTTTGTAAATCCGTCTGAAATCACAATCATCTGCTTACATACTCCGGTAAATATTTTATTTTTTATGTTTAAAGTCCGTCCGGAGCTGGATGGACCGGATATGGTTTTACAATGTGATGCGTTTTGTCTTAAAACAGGAAATAAAAAGCTAAAGGCGTCAGACCTGAAGAAGAGCTGTAGACCAACAGGCCGAGTTTATTTTTTAAATATTTTATAAAAAGGTTTAAAGCTGCAGAGCTTCGTTACAAAGAACTGAAATTAAATTTCTTAATTTGCTGTTTTAAATGTGGAGAAGATGAAAACTTGTCTAATTAAAACTACAGTAAATATGTTTCTGACTGGATCACAGATTATTCTTCTTTAATGTGTTAAAACATTTATTCTAGAAGATTAAAGAGGAGAAATTTAACTTGTTCAATCAGAACCACAGTCAGGTCCACAGACTGAGACCTGGACAAGATGTGAATAAAATAATGTTTAACTTATTTCAGACTGAATGATGAACTCCAGATATTTGATGATGTTGGTTTTATTTATTTTGAAATAACATTTGAAACTTTTTAAACACTTTAGATTCAGGTTAAAAGTATTATTCTGTGAGGGACCACTAAGTGCTGGTTTCTAAATATGACCTGGTTTATATGTTTATTATCTTTTGTCCCAACTGGTTTAGATTTAATACTTTATTTTCTGAAGTTTATTAAAATATAAACATTTGTCCCACAGGTGGTTTAAATCATCAGCAGTGGATTTAGTAAAATGTTTTTCTGCTTGTTTTACAGTTCTGAGACGGGCTGAGCGCTCCGTTTGTGGCCCAGAACCATGTTTCTGTACAACATCACCCTGCAGCGGGCCACCGGCATCAGCCACGCCATCCATGGCAACTTCTCAGGTGAACTTCCTGTTGTCCTCGTCTCACTTCCTGTTGGGTCGGGTCAACCTTTGTTAATGTGAAATAATAACCATTAAAGACAGAACTGTCCAGTCCTGGTCCTGGAGGACTAGTGTCCTGCAGGTTTTAGATCAGGAGTGTCCAGTCCTGGTCCTGGAGGACTAGTGTCCTGCAGGTTTTAGATCAGGACTGTCCAGTCCTGGTCCTGGAGGACTAGTGTCCTCCATGTTTTAGATCAGGAGTGTCCAGTCCTGGTCCTGGAGGACTAGTGTCCTGCAGGTTTTAGAGGATTCTCAGCTGCAGCTCCTGGTCTAAATGAATGGGATTAACAGACTCCTGCAGAACTTGAAGAGGTCATTCAATCACTGAATCAGGTCCTGGAGCAGGAAAACCTCTAAAACCTGCAGGAAGTGGTCCTCCAGGAGCAGGAAGTGGTCCTCCAGGAGCAGGAAGTGGTCCTCCAGGAGCAGGAAGTGGTCCTCCAGGAGCAGGACAGTTCTGTCCCACAGAACCTCTGCCTCAGTGAGCAGGTAGAAAGCTTCATGTTTTACTGCAACAGTCTGATAAATGAGGTGTTTGTGTCTGGTAGGAACCAAGATGCAGGAGATCGTTGTTTCCAGGGGAAAGATCCTGGAGTTGCTGCGTCCAGATGCCAACACAGGGAAGGTTCACACTCTTCTGACGGTGGAGGTGTTCGGCATCGTCAGGTCCCTGATGGCGTTCAGACTCACAGGAGGAACCAAAGGTCTGCTAGATTACACCCGATTTACACCTGCTGTACACCTGCTTTACACCTGCTTTATGTACACCTGCTGTACACCTGCTGTACACCTGCTTTACCCCTGATTTACACCTGTTGTACACCTGATTTACACCTGCTGTACACCTGATTTACACCTGCTGTACACCTGATTTACACCTGCTGTACACCTGATTTACACCTGCTGTACACCTGATTTACACCTGCTGTACACCTGATTTACACCTGATTTACACCTGTTGTACACCTGATTTACACCTGTTTTACACCTGATTTACACCTGATTTACACCTGCTGTACACCTGTTGTACACCTGATTTACACCTGTTTTACACCTGATTTACACCTGCTGTACACCTGTTTTACACCTGATTTACACCTGTTTTACACCTGATTTACACCTGATTTACACCTGTTTTACACCTGATTTACACCTGATTTACACCTGCTTTTCCAGATTACATCGTTGTGGGAAGTGACAGCGGTCGTATCGTCATCCTGGAGTATCATCCATCTAAAAACCAGATGGAGAAGGTCCACCAGGAGACGTTTGGGAAGAGCGGCTGCCGGCGCATCGTTCCGGGACAGTTCCTGGCTGTGGACCCTAAAGGCCGAGCTGTCATGATTGGTGAGAGTTCTCCAGAGGTTGATTCCTCGTCGTGTTCCTCATCACTGAAAGCTTCAGAGAACCAGAGGAGTTGAAGGAGTGCTCTGTCTTCCAGGAGCCATAGAGAAACAGAAGCTGGTTTATATCCTGAACAGAGATGCTGCTGCCAGGCTGACCATCTCCTCTCCTCTGGAGGCCCACAAAGCAAACACGCTGGTCTACCATGTGGTGGGAGTGGACGTGGGCTTTGAAAACCCAATGTTTGCCTGCTTGGAGATGGATTACGAGGTGAGCTCATGAAGAACTGAGGTTCCTCTGAGGAAGACTTCATTCTGAGTGATGAGTTCATCATGTCTCTTCTCTGACTGTCTCTGGAGAAAGATCCAACCCTCTGACCCGAATGTTCACAAGTCCTCCTGAACTCTAGTCATCCTCTGACCCGCTTCATCAAAGCTCTTCTGTTTTCCAGGAAGCTGACAACGACCCCACAGGAGAAGCTGCTGCAAACACTCAGCAGACCCTCACCTTCTACGAGCTGGACCTGGGTCTGAACCACGTGGTCCGAAAGTACAGCGAAGCTTTGGAGGAGCATGGAAACTTCCTCATCACAGGTGAGAGTTGGGACAGAGGTGGGGTCCTAACCACGCCAGGTCTGACCTGGTTCAGGTCTGGAACAGAACAGCTTATTGTCTTTATCTCTGTCTAGTTCCTGGTGGTTCTGATGGGCCCAGTGGAGTTCTGATCTGCTCTGAAAACTACATCACCTACAAGAACTTTGGAGACCAGCCGGACATCCGCTGTCCCATCCCCCGCCGCAGGGTGAGCCGTCCTCCAGAACCAAAACCCAGTTAGTCGTTAGATTTGTTCTGTTTGTTTTTATCGGTTTTTAAAAGTCTAAAAACACTCCAAGATTCTGGACCTCAGGCCGAGAATCCCAGGAGAACCAGCAAGAGAAGAACTGTTAGCAAATAAAAAACTTCAGTCTGGACTTGCTCTGCAGCGGGGCAGAGACGTGGTTTAAAAGGAAAATAAGTTTAAATTTATCAGTGTAACACCTTAAAGAAATGTTTTTTTTAAAAACTGATCCCAACAGCAGCATGTGGCCAAACAGAATGGGTCCCAAACTGGACCCTTGAGGTACACCACAGCAAATAGGTGCTGAGGACGAAGAACCAGGTTAAAACTGAACCTTTAAAGTGCCTGTGACATGAAGTTTATTAAATATAAAGGCATTATTGGAAAGATAACAATATTATCATATTGTAAAAATAACTCCCTGCTGCTGAGATGAACGGTTGTTGAGATGTTTACATGTGAAGGAACAGGAAGTGATGTCAGAGAGGAATGTCTGCACGGAACAAAGCACTGATGAAACAGCTAACGACACAATAATCTGATGTTTCTGTGGATTATTTTGAGTCAGAGTTCAAATAAAACTGTTTCAATAAACAAAGATTACAGATTTCTCTTAAAGAGTTCCCCTGTGATGTCACTTCCTGTTGCACTTTGAGCYGAGTTTAAAAGAAAATATGTCATTTATGTGACAAAATGAGTAAAATCATGTTTTATGTAAGGTTTCTTTTATAAAAATGTGTTTTCTTTGACTTGTTGTATTTGATGGATAGACATGTCACAGACACTTTAAGACCAAGTTCAAGTCTGGACAAGAGGATTAGATTAGATTAAATTAGATTAGATTAAATTAGATTAGATTAGATTAGATTAGATTAGATTAGATTAGATTAGATTAGATTAGATTGACAGCATCAAAGGCAGCAGTTAAATCCAACAAACTGAAACCAGTCTCCCTGAGTCGACAGTTAAAGGTTCATTAAAAACCAGAGGACAGGGGTTAGTAGTTGTCTTCTTTCAGGACTGATCCATGTGGTTCTGATCCTCACCTGATCCATGTGGTTCTGATCCTCACCTGATCCATGTGGTTCTGATCCTCACCTGATCCATGTGGTTCT